AAATAGAAAAATTAAAAGCTACGTCTTAGGATACAACAACAATTATTGTCATATCTTCCTTTCACTTTCATACGTCCATGCGCAAATTCTCGATTCGCGGGCTGTAATTTTTTTTTGTCTTTTCGGCGTCCTCTTGAGGCTTCACGTATCAGGAGACCTTTGGCATCGTCCTTTCTTGATAAAAAAATAAATAAATAAATAACTGAAACGAAAGTGGAATAAAAAAATCAAATGAATAAGATGAAATAGAAAAATAAATAAAAGCTACGTCTTAGGATCCAACAACAATTATTGTCAACACATCCGTACGTTCCTATAAATATAACGTTGTCCCCTATCATCTTAATCTAGGTTTTTATCGGTGTTTCTTTAACCAAGGATTTATGTCGCCCTGGTTACATGAGGCGCTGAATGACTTCTGGGAGAAAGGAGGAAGGAGAGAAAAGAGAGAGAGAGGGAAAAAAGATAGAGGGAGAACGAGAACGTGAGAGGGATGAGTGGGAAGAGGAAAGGGAGAGGGAGAGGGAAAAAGGATAGGTGGAGAACGAGAACGCGAGAGGGATGAGTGGGAAGGGGAAAGGGAGAGGGAGACGAGTAAGAGAGAGAGGTTGGGGAGTGAAAGGAGGAGAGATAAGGAAGGACGAGGGAGGTGAGTGAAAGAGAGGAGAGGGAGGGTGAGGGAGACATAAAGAGAGAGAGAGAGAGAGAGAGAGAGAAGAGAGAGAGAGAGAGAGAGAGAGAGAGAGAGAGAGAGAGAGAGAGAGAGGAGAAAGACAAAGATAGACAGAGAGAAGAGAAAAAAAAAAAGAAAACAGACAAACTCAAGAGTCCCAACCCAGGCACCAAGCAGACCTCGAGCCGAAGCAAGATCCAAGTCGCAAATTCAACAAGTCGATTAATTCAGCAGACAAGGAGACGCGGGCGAGGGCGGGGCGAGTGTGCGGCACCGACCGACGGGCGAGTGCCACACATGACGAGCCTCGACCTACTGAGGTTCATCAACCACTACTGAACCAGTGACCCGCGGCGCCTCGCTGCTCGTCATCCTCTCTCTGTCTGTCTGTGGCTGTCTCTGTCTGTCTCTCTCTTCTTATCGGCTCTTTTTGTTTGTCTGTCTGTCCTGCACTGTCTCTTATTCTTTCTTCCCTTCTCTTTTCTTTCTCTCTCTCTCTCTCTCTCTCTCTCTCTCTCTCTCTCTCTCTCTCTCTCTTCTCTCTCTTCTCTCTCTCTCTCTCTCTCTCTCTCTCTCTCTCTCTCTCTCTCTCCCTCCCTCCCTAAAGCCATGTTTGTTTTACCCATCATATTGTATAGGGGAAAAACAACAACAAAAGCAAAAACAAACAACACACACATACACAGAGTAAATCCAAAATCCAGACATGAATCCCCGTGTCCTGAGGAAACACCCAACAGAACAAGACGAGGTTCAGACATCAATGCCACACTTCAACATCGATCACATGAATCGTCTCTGTCTCTAGTCTGTACTCTCTTGTCTCTCATC